GTCCATTAATTACAGAGTAACAATTTTTCAAAAATTGGTACTCGGTAGTTGAGAGACTTTTTTGGCTTACCCTGTATATAATATAATATCAATATATAATATAAATAATCCAACAGTAAAAAATCTCAACTCATACACATCAAATTGAGATTTTTAATATTTCTTACATATTTTCTTATAAATGCTATTTTATTAAAAATACTTTTCTACAAACTTATGAAATGATAATGAATTTAACTTACAAGGTGATTCAAAGAACTTTGAAAGCATATAGAATTTTTAACAAAATACTTATACCTTAACCAATTCTGTAACAGAACATATCAAGTTTTATCTCAGACATTTTAATTTAATGTGAGCCTATGAGCCTAAATTTTACTTGGGGTGTTTCTCATGACATCAATGATATGGCAGACATCCATCTGCATTAAATTTCTTGCAAACCTAAAGCAGCCTACCTGTTCTCACATCAACAACTGTGACAGAGATTCAAGTTTTGTGCTCAGTCAGATTTATAAGCAAGGACAGAATAAACATTGTATCTTTAATGAAACTCCAGAAGAAAGAAAAACCAAGAGATGTCATCTGGGAAATGAGGTAACCATGATGTTGACCTTGTGTCCCAAATTAGTGGATTGGTTAAACATTCAGGAAAACATTGCTGTCCTAGAACTACAAATGAAGATCACCATCAGTTGTTTTATGATAGAATCAAACACAAGGACAACCAGAACAATCAAATCCAGAAGAACCAACCACTCAAAGAAATTTCAGTGGTAAGAATAAATTGTAGGTCTACTTGGAAAATTCTCATGATACTAGTTGCAAAGTTCCATATTTTTTGTTCCATAAAAGTTTTTGTTACAAGTTCAACATAAACCAATTTTGTTTTCTAGAACCAAAGCACACAAGTGTGTTCTGCATCAGTGAAAGCAACCATTTGGAAATGCACACTTACAGTAATGGAATTCAATACTATGGTATTACATGAAACAAATCTGATGTGTTCTGTTCTGAATTAATATGTCAATCAATTCTGTTAGTCTTCTGATTAAAATTCTATGCACTGTCAAAATTATAAAGTTCATTTTTGAATCATTCTGTATAAAAAAACAAACATGACATTCATGAGTTTTTAGAATATTTTGGTTCTTTTCTGTTAACAGGACACCAGTTGTAACTTTGATCCAATGTGCGATACTGTCGTCCTCATTGCTCCATTAAGACTATTGCATTTAACTATTTAGTCCACGCAACAGTGCCAGCTTCAAGTAACCCACTTGACTGTTCATGGTGTACTCTTATGTGATACATATTTTTAGGGGCTTGTCCCACATGGATGCTGAGGTGCAAGTGATAGTGAGCACTGAAGCACACGATTACATGCAAAGCAGTATACTGATGCATGTTAAAAATGACCTTTGGTGGCAAATATTTCAACAATTCTGTGTAAAATCTCTCATTCAGAGCTTGAATCTTATCTGTTGCTATACATATTGGCTAGCATCCCATTAACAGAAAAGTACCATTATTTCATATATAGATGAAGTTATGAATAGCATCTTAATGCTTATATGCTAAATTATTTATTATTATATAAAGGAAAATTCAGCATAAAAATTAATATATACAATATAAATGTTAGCTTAATATATTCATAACTATAATTTTGAATGCAAAACTTTTTGATCATAGA